TCTTCTTACTAAAATTAAAGTGCAAGGTGATGATGATGATGATGAATGTTAGTTCCCTTAGCTTTGTTCTTATATATGAAAGTAGTAATTAAGTAGCATTGTATGATATATAGATTGGATCGATCTTGATTATATATTATCTGCTTTCTCGATCTGTTGTATTTCAAACCTGCAGATTCCAACTTCTCTCTTGATTTCCATTTTTCTTTCTTTTTTGTTGAAGGAATGAAAAAATTAAAATAAAAAATCATGAGTAGTTTTTGACAGTTTTATTAATCAAATGAGTTTTTGAGTTTTATGATCAAAGTATGTGAATATTTTTTTATTATTTTTGAAAGTTATGAGAAAAGAAAAATATCTATGGACCTTAATTTGCCCCATCAACTGATGAAATAAATTAAACCTCTACGTAAGGGGGCAGAGGGACATAATCATAATTTTATTTTGATTTCAATTGTTAAAAATATTTTTGGTTTAGTTTTTACATATTTTGAGATTAATTTTTCTTTATTCTAATCAAAAGCATATTATTCATGTCAAAACTAAATAATTCATGAGAAATTATTTTCTCAATGTTACAAAATATTCATATTATAATTATGTTGATTGGGTTCACATTATAATTGATTGATATAATTAGGTTAATTGATTTTGTATCATAGAATATTTTCTTGTACAAGGCCATAAATAAGCATCGTGTATATTTAGTGAAATTAAGAAATAAAGAGTTTCTTTCTTCATATATCTTTACATTTTTCCTCTCTTTATATTTCTATCATGGTAACAAAGTTTTGAGGCTTTTTTTATACTATTTATGTTCATCTCCTTTGTGAGTTGCTGCTTTGCTTGTAGGTGGTGCTAATCATCATCGTCTTTGCTTTCTTTCTTGGACTTATTTACAATTGGGTTTCCTTGATCCTGTTCTTTTGTTGTGCTGACAATACATGTTACTCCCATGGCTACTATTGCTCCAGCCTTCTCGCATCCAATTGCTGCTAATTTTGTTCTTGATTTCCTATCACTGATTTTGCTCTTTATTTCTCACAATTGAACTTCCGACATTGCTATTGCTCAAATCCGATATTGCCTCCTTCTCCTCTAGTGACGTCGAGTGACGTCGATTGCATCGATCTATATATTCAGTATGCAGATCTTTTCACCAAAAGCTCACTTTCCTGGACGCTTCTGCACTCTTCTTTCCAAACTCAAGCTGGTCTCCTCATCACCACCTGAAGTTTGAGAGAGAATGTTACAGAATATTCAAATTATAATTATGTTGATTGGGTTCATATTATAAAAGATTGATATAATTAGGTTAATTGATTTTATACCATAGAATATTCTCTTGTACAAGGTTATAAATAAATATCATGGATATTTGGTGAAATTAAGAAAGAAATAGTTTCTTTTTTCATATATCATTATATTTTTCCTCTCTTTATATTTCTATCACTCA